GCCGGGTGTCGCCGTCCTGTGCTTCTGTCCGCGCGCCGGGTGGTGGTGTCCTCTGGTGAGACTCGGGTGGTTTAACCCTCTGCCGGGGGTGTATGCTCCTGTAGGCTCAGCCTGTATGGCTCATCCGCCCACTGTGTTGCGAGGCAGAGGGTTTTCCGTCGATCAGCTCTCTTTCCTCCCTGCTGCCGCCGCCGTGCCCGGCTGGCGAATTGACCGGTCGGCTCGGTGAAGTGTCGACTGATCGACCGACCCCCGAGGTCGGGCCGCCGCCACCGCTGCCGCTGCCGCTGCCGGTGCCGGCGTGGCCAGGACAGGACATCAGCGGTCGATCATGGCCGACTTCCGGCACACGCGCCGGGCGTCGGGAATGTAGGGTGGAGTAGTAGTGCTTCCTTTTGCATGAAGCTAAAGAGTAGTCATCGGGTAGGTAAAGCGGAAGTTGCCCTAAATGAACCTTTCAGCATTGAAGATAATTTCCTCCTGACAGTGGATCGGAAAATGGTATGTCATGAGGGTGCACCAGGAATCCAGCCTGCCTTTCACAGAGAAAGCCATCGGATTTCGCACTGACTGAGCCGTTTGTTAGTTGTCTGCACGTGCTCGGCGTAGCGGGATGTCAACTGTAATCGGGGTCGGGTGACAATTACGGCTCGCTGCAGACGGACCGCCGGCCGGTCACTGCGGTCACCGACCCATTGGCACGCCCCTGTCCCGGAATGACGCACGCTGATCGTTATCCTCCAGATATGGCGGGCGTTCTGTGTAGCGGTGGTTCTGTCCGTGCTCGGCGATCTGCGTCCGCCGCGTGGGCTGAGTGGCGTGCCATGTAAGGATCACGTTACAAGCCGAGGTGTTACATTGATCGGTCGGTGGTGTTACATTGCCGGTCTGATAACACCCCACCTCAGCTCACCCCTGCCTGTCGTGCTCCCACCTCCGCCTGTCGGGCTCTCACCTCCGCCTGTCTAAGCTCTCACCTAGAGCCTGTCGGCGCTCTCACCTAACGCAGCCAGGAGCGGAGGCTCCGTTATCACGGCGGGTCCTGTCATCGTCCACCAGCCGCCACGCCGGCTGTTCCTGCCAACAGCAGCAGAGCGGGCGCCAGCCCCCCCCCCCCCCCCCCCCCCCCAACAGACACCCATCTCAGTCACACACAGCCACGGACACCTGTTAGAGACGTCCCCATACGAGGCACAGGGGATAATGCGGGCGGACCAGGACACAGAGACACAGGAACGAGCGTGATGCTCAGTAGGACATTGAATCACTATTTTGTCATAAGGTTAATTCATGTGCACTGCCCTTGGTATTCGCTTTGTGTTGGTGTTTGTTGTTGTTGTTGTTGTTGTTGTTTTTTATTAGTATCACTAGAGGGACAGCATTACGCGCAGCGTAATAAATCAATTTTCATTAAAATCGGCCCAGTAACGGCCGAGTTAATGCCAGAATAAATTTGGCGTCTGCTCCTGGCCGGCGGTGCTCTGTTCCGGTATTCATTGCCAAAGGTCAGTGACCTTCCGGCTCTGATTTCACCCAGTTTTGCAGCGAAGAAACTGAGCCTAAGGCGCGTGCCGTCTGCTCGGCGCCGGCCGCGGCCCAAAATCCCGCAAAGATGCGCCCGCCACGTGCAAACCACCGAACCCAACCCCACCAAAATTTAATACAACAAACAGATGCACGCGTCCGACTTGCGTCGAAAATTTCACCCCCGTAGCCCGCACCGTTCCGGAGCAATAGCCCGCCAAGCGTGACTGACGCGTTACATACATACATACACACGTACAGACATTTTGATTTTTATAAGAGTGACTAGAGGGACAGCATTACGCGCAGCGTAATAAACCAAGTTTCAATAAAATCGGCCCATTAGTGGCCGAGTTATGGCCAGAATAAATTTAGCGTCTCCTCCTGGCCGGCGGTGCCCTGTTCCAGTATTCATTGCCAAAGGTCAGTGACCTGCCGGCTCTGATTTCCCTCAGTTTTGCAGCGAAGAAACTGAGGATAATGCGCGTGCCGTCTGCTCGGCGCCGGCCGCGGCCCAAAATCCCGCAAAGATGCGCCCGCCACGTGCAAACCGGCGAGCGCACCCCCACCAAAATTTAATACAACAAACAGATGCACGCGTCTGACTTAAGTCCAAAATTTCACCCCCGTAGCCCGCACCGTTCCGGAGCAATAGCCCGCCAAGCGTGACGGACGCGTTACATACGTACAGACATTTTGATTTTTATATATGTAAACTAGAGGGACAGCATTACGCGCAGCGTAATAAACCAAGTTTCAATAAAATCGGCCCATTAGTGGCCGAGTTATGGCCAGAATAAATTTAGCGTCTCCTCCTGGCCGGCGGTGCCCTGTTCCAGTATTCATTGCCAAAGGTCAGTGACCTGCCGGCTCTGATTTCCCTCAGTTTTGCAGCGAAGAAACTGAGGATAATGCGCGTGCCGTCTGCTCGGCGCCGGCCGCGGCCCAAAATCCCGCAAAGATGCGCCCGCCACGTGCAAACCGGCGAGCGCACCCCCACCAAAATTTAATACAACAAACAGATGCACGCGTCTGACTTCAAAATTTCACCCCCGTAGCCCGCACCGTTCCGGAGCAATAGCCCGCCAAGCGTGACGGACGCGTTACATACGTACAGACATTTTGATTTTTATATATGTAAACTAGAGGGACAGCATTACGCGCAGCGTAATAAACCAAGTTTCATTGAAATCGGCCCAGTAGCTGCCGAGTTATGGCCAGAATAAATTTGGCGGGTCCGTATCAAAGCGTCCAAAACCGCAGCAACCAAAGTACGCAACATCCAAAACCGCAGCGTCCAAAGTACGCAACGTCCAAAATACGTCCAAAATCGGGTTTATAGGGGGCATTCACAAAGTCCAAAACCGAAACATCCAAAACCGCAACGTCCAAAAACGTATCATCCAAAAACGCAACATCCAAAGACGCAACATCCAAAGTACGTAACCTCCAAAACCACAACGTCCAAGACCACGACATCCAAGGCACGCAACATCCAAAACCAACCTAACCTAACCTAACCTAACCTAACCTAACCTAACCTACTGATTTTTGCCTATCCCTAACCCAACCAAACCTAACCTAACCTAACCTACTGATTTTTGCCTACTGGGGATAAGGAAACCCAACCTAACCTAACCTAACCTAACCTAACCTAACCTACTGATTTATGCCTACCGGGGATAAGGAAACCTAACCTAACCTAACCTAGCCTAACCTAACCTAACCTAACGGTTTTGGATGTTGCGTACTTTGGATGTTGCGTACTTTGGATGATGCGTCCTTGGATGTTGCGTTTTTGGATGATACGTTTTGGATGTTGCGGTTTTGGATGTTTCGGTTTTGGACGTTGTGAATGCTCCCTATATACCCGATTTTGGACGTATTTTGGACGTTGCGTACTTTGGACGCTGCGGTTTTGGATGTTGCGTACTTTGGATGCTGCGGTTTTGGACGCTTTGATGGTCCCCCAAATTTGGCGTCTCCTCCTGGCCGGCGGTGCTCTGTTCCGGTATTCATTGCCAAAGGTCAGTGACCTTCCGGCTCTGATTTCCCTCAGTTTTGAAAGCGAAGAAACTGAGCCTATGGCACGTGCCGTCTGCTCGAAACCGGCCGCGGCCCAAAATTCTGCAAAGATGCGCCCGCCACGTGCACACCGCTGAACCCACCCCCTCCAAAATTTAATACGACAAACAGATGCACGCGTCCGACTTAAGTCCAAAATTTCACCCCCGTAGCCCGCATCGTTCCACAGCAATAGCCCTTAAAGCGTGACTGACGCGTTTCATACATACAGACATTTTGATTTTTATATATGTAACTAGAGGGACAGCATTACGCGCAGCGTAATGAATCAATTTTCATTAAAATCGGCCCAGTAGCGGGCGAGTTATTGCCAGAATAAATTTTGCGTCTCCTCTTGGCCGGCGGTGCCCTGTTCCGGTATTCATTGCCAAATCAGACCTGCCGGCTCTGATTTCGCTCAGTTTTCGCAGCGAACAATCTGAGCCTAGAGCACGTGCTCTCTGCTCGGCGCCGGCCGCGGCCCAAAATGCTGCAAAGATGCGCCCGCCACGTGCACACCGCTGCACGCACCCCCTCCAAAATTTAATACAACAAACAGATGCACGCGTCCGACTTACGTTCAAAATTTCACCCCCGTAGCTCGCACCGTTCCGGAGCAATAGCCCGCCAAGCGTGACGGACGCGTTACATACATACGTACAGACATTTTGATTTTTATATATGGAAATGACTTGTTTGTGATTCATTTAGTGAAAGGTGCGCTAGCTGAATGTTTTTGCATAGTGCATTACGCATGTGTCTCTCTGTGTGTATGCTTTTAGGTGTCTCTCATGCGCCATTTTTTTCTCTCTCTCTCTCTCTCTTTTTTAACATATGAGCCAGTTCTGCTCGAAGCTGTAAGCACAAAATCTTTTCATTTCTGGCCATTGTTCCCAGGCAAATCTGAAATTTCGTTTGCAGATATATCGCATCAATGTTTATTAGGAATTCCACTTGCTGCTAATTGACACCATTCGTAACTGATGTATTGCGTTTTATTAGGTATTAATTTAAACAGAAAACAACTGTTTGAAAAATCCAAATGAGAAAGAAAATGAGCTGTGTCATTTACGTTTGAGATTATCCGATCGTCATTCGTTTGAAAACATCGTTATTGAAGGGCGATATGTTATTGAAGCCATCTGAACAATTTTTACGAGTGGATCACTCTGACAGTTTCAACGGACAGCTACCATTAATATCTTACTCTTCGGTCTTATATGTTCAAACCTTTTTCTGAAATGACCCTACTGGCTCTAACTATGATTTATTGTGGCCGTCGCAGCGTCCTACATTATCCGAAAGTGTCCCTACTTGTGCTAACCGTAACCTCTCTGCCGTTATCATCCAACGTCCTAAATTTTCCGTAACAGCCCCGCCGGTTTTGACCGTGAACCGTGCGGTCGTTACAGCGTCCTACACGGGCAGCAGCTCAGACGAGGATGACATCTCTCCGCGCGAAAAGTCCCAGACGGCCGGCGATGGCTTCACCGACTTCTGCATCAAGAACGTGGCGCAAGCTGCGTTCGGCCGGCGCGAGATCGAGATCGCCGAGCAGGGTGAGCTAGCGGAGAGGGGAGAGAGGGAGAGGGAGAGCAGGGGAGAGGACTAGCTTCTGGGCTGGTGTGGTACTCTGTCTGTTTTGTGATATCCCACTTTACCAACGTATTGGGCATGGCGTGAGATTGATTGGTTGCGGGCAGCTTTCACCTCTGAATAATATCAGTACAGAGCTATGAGTATGACGTCATTGAGTCCTGTGGGTCGATGGTTTGGACAGCATGTCATTATAAGTGAAAGTTCAGGCGCTGTAATTCAATCACAGATCCAAGGAAACTGGGTGCCTCGGTCACGTAAACGACTCTATGGACTATCTATCGCTGTGTTCAAGTGTGGCAGTCCATGCACGCCGTCCCTGCCTCACGACTGACCAATGTCTCCCATTGACACTCCTCCAGAGATGCCCGGCATTGTCGCCCTGAGGAAGCGGGCCGCGGAGGACAAGCCTCTCCGAGGTGCCAAAATCGTCGGCTGCACACACATCAACGCCCAGACTGCGGTACGTACCGGGACGGGCCTCAGAGCATTTACCACACCCTACTGAAATAAATACACTGCTAAAGCGCCGGGGTCCTGTCCTGTCTATGGAGCCTGCGGGAGACGGATGCAGGGTGGCTGGGATCGTCCCTCGCTGTCGCCGCTCGGGTGCGGTGCGATTCAGCGATCCGGACTCCGGACGATCCTCTGAGCGGTGATCCGGGCTGGCCGGACGATCCTCTGCGGTGATCCGGACTCCGGAAGATCCTCTGCGGTGATCCGGACTGGTCGGACGATCCTCTGAGCGGTGATCCGGACTGCTGACGATCCTGTGCGGTGATCCAGGCTCCGGACGGTGCTCTGCGCGGCAGGGGCGGCTCGGCCAGCCTCATTAGTCCCCGATGATCGATGTGGAAGGGACCCCCGCCGCCAGTCCTGGTATCTGGGACGGCCATCGTCGGGTGCCGGGAGGCCGCCTATCGCGGGTATCGCGGGCGCGGTGTGGTCGGCGCGGTGGTGGGCCCGACCCAGAGGGTGGTCAGCGGTGACAGATAGCTGGCACTGAGCCGTGCGGAGGGGATGTGGCGGCCGCTCTGGACATTCAGCTCACTGCCGGCGCCTCCTGCCCCGGCGCTCCTGTCTGGTCAGATAACCTGGTGGGTGGCCGTAATGAGACAGGGCGGGCAACCTCATTTTCCGCCTCGACTCTCCACGAATGAACGATCCGTCCGACCAATGCTTCTTTTTTAGATGGACGGTGTGTCATCGCGCTGACCGCAGCCGTACTCTAAACTTCCGGCTCTAGCGTATGTGGTTTTGCCGGATGTTACTGCTTCGTGTTGCGGTAAGAATGTTCGTCATTGTTTACTTCAGACGCTAGGCTGCGACTTTTGTTTCATGTGGCTAATGTCCTTTTCTTCGTGGAAGTGACTTGTGATATCAAGGCCGGCAAGAACAACATGCAGTGGCTGGTGCGTATCACCCACCGCTGAGTGTAAATATTTGCCATCGTCCCTGTTTTCGGAGGCACTCCAAACTCATCGCACCGCAAATCTGTTATGATTGTGACCAGTCATAACATATTATGACGCTTTCCGACGATACTAGTGTCTGTTCGTTCCGGGGAGAGTGACAGATGTGACCGCTGCCGATCTCTGTCGTCATCGGCTCCATTACCGTGTCAGTCTGACCTGCCCCGGCGAATCCCGCCCCTCCGCTGTCCCTCTCGTTGGGGATCGTGTCACGCCATCAACCGTTCGTTCATACATCCATCCTCCATCCATCCGTCCATCCATCCATCTATCCATCTATCCATCTATCCATCCATCCATCCATCCATCCATCCATCCATCCATCCATACATCCATCCATCCATCTATCCATCCATCATCCATTCACCCACCCATCCATCCATCCATCCATTCGCTCGTCCACTTGTCTTTCCGTCCATCCATCCATCCATCCATCCATCCATCCATCCATCCATCCATCCATCCATCCATTCGCTCGTCCACTTGTCTTTCCGTCCATCCATCCATCTATTCGTACGTCCACTCGTCATTCGGTTTTGTCGTCCGCTCGCTATTCTTTTTGTCCACCCTCCCACCGGGCCGCTGGAAGAGTGAATGTCCTGTTGGTCGATTTGTTGACGAGCAAACCGCCGGGGCCGGCCGCTGAGCCAGGCACCGCTCGCTATTGCTAGAGCTCGCGTGACACGCTCAATGGCTGGCGACCAAGGCCAGTCGGTACTGCGCATGTTAATGGCAGCACAAACGGATATATGCGCCCTATACTTGGTGCCATAAATTGTCGTCTTTGGCTTTATCAAATTTATTTTTCACATGCCACTGTTTGCATAAGGAGATGCCGGAGCTCTATTTTCATTAATATGTGTCGATTGGGCTAGTTTTGCGTGTCGATTTGGATAGATTCAATGTGTTAGAGGTAACGTTTTGTTTCTGGAAATTCCATTTGCTGTCGGGTGGTAATGATGCTTGTTTCACTCGCGCGGGTGCGACGTCTTCCAGGAGGGGCGGCAGGTGCTGTTTGGACAGGCCCGATATTGGTGTGTCCTCCGCCAACAGCCGGGTGTGGCTCGGTTCGGCCGGTCTCTGCTCCACCAGTCGGCCGGAAGCTGCCTAACTGCCCGCGGCGAACGCTGCGGTGGCCGAATTTAACGCTGGCTGGCACCGACCGCTGCGCCGTGCGTGTGCAGGGAAGTTAAACGGGAGCCGGACTGAGTCAGGCATGTCTAAACTACGCTGGGAAGACGCCAATTGGCCAGCCCACGCCGTCCAACTCGGGACTAGGATGTCCGGGTGTGATCTGTGGTCTGTTTATCAGAAGTCAGTTGGAACGGATGAATATTAACCAGTTTTGAACCACGAACTAGGAGCAGTACTGACCAAGGCAGGACCTTGAATGATGTTTTTATGGAAGGTAATTTTACATAGCGAATTGGGGCACGGGTGGGCACTGAAAAGCCCCATATCGGTCGCATCCATGTATCGGCTTGGCTACGCTTGCCTCAATACTGCACTGGCATCAATGAGCACGGTGGTCGGTGTGATCCAATATTCGATCGGCGCGTTTGCTATTGCCCGGTCAACATATGGAGTGGTACTAGCTTGGGGGGGGGGGGAGCTGAATATCGACGATACACATTGATCAATGGCATCAGACCAAGCCGCGATGATCTAACGATAGTGTTATCCTCGTAGGGAAGTGCGCTTCCACGGATCAAGGAGTCCAAACAGCTATAAGTATGCAGGTAATGAGTGTCGTGTGCGTCATGATTGAATAGGCAATAAAACGCTATGGACGGTTTTTCCTTCTGGAAAGCCGTGGTTTTGTCCCAGTCTGCTCGTCTATTTCTGTCTCAGTTGACGTCACGTTCATTTTTCATAGTTTGACATAGCGTGTTCCGATGGAGGCATTCGCCGCCACATGGTTGTGTCGTTTTTACCTCGTCCCAAGCGGCGAATGTGTGCCACAATGTCGTCGTCTAGCCGAGTGGATCTGACGCCTCAGACGTCTGTCGAAACCGTCGCCTCCCTTACGTCACTATTGGTCTTTATGTCCCGACTGTGGGCCGTCTGTGGCGTCATGCTCACTCTGGCTGCCGGGCACGTCTCATATCTGTGCGACTCTGTGGTAATTTATAGGCTATGGCGTGCTAAAAGTGGCGGCGGCGGCGGCGGCTGGAAGTTCATCCGGTCGCTCTCAGCCTCTCAGCTCTGATGGCCTCCGAAGTATCGACCCTCAGGCGGTGGTTTAGATCTGTATTCTTATCCTGTCCGAGATCTGAACACCGGTAACACAACCTTGCCGTGACGTCTGACAGCTGAATTTGATTTTTTCCGGGAAGGAGACGATCTCCCTTCCATAGCACCCACAGCCGTCAGGTGTTATTACTGTTGGCAGAGCGGCAGGTATCTGCTATACTACAATGGACAGCTCGGCGGGCCAGACGTGCTGCAATGGCCGCGGTCCCTCCAGTGCGGCGGACCCCACGGGACCCAGTCGGCAGCGGCCGAACCCGGTAAACCAGCTACAGTGGCGTGTTGACATTGGCATGAGTGGCGTGACGGGCCCAGCGCGTGCGGTGGTGCGCATACATAATACATGGAGCTAGGTGCCGGCACTGACGGAACTCCTGAGCTGAGTGGCCCCTCATTGCAGCGAGCCTGAGCTGAGCTGGCTACCTCAAGACTGCGAGCCTCAGCTGAGCTGGCTCCATCGCCTCAACTAGCCTGAGCTGAGTTGGCGAGTTGGCTCCCTTACCGCTGCGAGTCTGAGCTGAGCTGGCTCCCTTACCGCTGCGAGTCTGAGCTGAGTTAGCTCCCTTACCGCTGCGAGTCTGAGCTTAGCTGGCTCCTTCACTACAACCAGCCTGAGCTGGGCTGGCGGCTCCCTCACCGCAGCCAGCAGCAGAGAAAAGCTCCTCCTGTGGTATAATGGTCCGTTGGGGATAAGGCTCTAACTTTGGATGATAATAGATGTATGGGCGTCTTAATGGCTTATATAAGTTTGGCATCAGTTTGATCGTGGTCTTATTCCAGAGTGTTGTATCTAGGGGAGCGGTGTGGAAGTGTGTAGTTACGTTATAAAGTATAGTATGTGGCAAGAGTGTATTGCGTCATCGTAACAGCTGCACTACATTTTCTGCTTGTGGCATATGATTTATATTCCATTTTATCTCCCTGTTTCGTTTATCCCAGGGAGTTGTTTTTGACTGAGGGCAGTTTTTGTTTCTTGTGAACCAATTACGCCACTCGCACTCCCAGCCCATGTATCTTGACGTTAGACCTATGTAGTTCTATGCGACGTCAGTTCTCTCGCTTCCATCGCCATTCTTATCCCGACTAGAAGAAAAGTTTAAAGGTAGTGTGCCAGCTTTCTTGGACCGTATGGAGGGGCGTTCCACGACAAATCGACAAATAAAAAATTAAATTTGCACCCTCATATTTTATTATTCGTTGAAAACTGGTGTAAGGGGTTGTGATGGGCGGGGAAGCCAGCTGTGGCAAGGATTTTTTTCTTCGAACAACGGTTTCCGAGATATAGCCTCGGGCAATTCCTGGAGTTCGCGCTGCAGCCCTATGTTTGGCGGCCTATAACTCAGAAACTATTGGTTTTTTACGGTAAAAACTTTACATGGTTCAACTCACAATCAACCAACAAACATTTTGGCTATCACGGATTTTCAATTTTTGAAAATTTTGATCACGTGACCTTTTGTCCTATTTTTCGAAGAGTGACCTTGATATTTTCCCCACTGAATGTTGCAATTTTGTCTGATGACGATTAAAGCCTTATGGATTGCCATTCATATGCGATAATAAAAAAAGTGGTTATCGCCCTGCATTGACCTCAGGTCAGGTCATTTTTATGACCTGTCCATTATTACGAGCGGGAGCGACAGCGAGATCTCGAGAATAAAGCAAGATAGCGACAAGCGGTAAACGGTAAAGGGTACACACGGATAAGGTCTATAATTTTTACTGAGGTCATTTTCAGGTCAGGTCAAAGATGACGTCACAGGAGCTAAAAAGAAGTCAAAATAGCGGCACTATACATATATATGAAGTTTTTCTCGAATAACTTTCAAGGTATCCCAGCTAGGAACAAACTAATAGCACCATCGTGATCCTCTCGTCGATCCGCATCGAAACATATGTATGTTGACCTCGAAAGGTCGAAAGGTCAAAAGTTGACCTTAGATCACGTGACCTAGGGTCAACTTTTGACCTTTCGACCTTTCGAGGTCAACATACATATGTTTCGATGCGGATCGACGAGAGGATCACGATGGTGCTATTAGTTTGTTCCTAGCTGGGATACCTTGAAAGTTATTCGAGAAAAACTTCATATATATGTATAGTGCCGCTATTTTGACTTCCTTATACCTCCTGTGACGTCATCTTTGACCTGACCTGAAAATGACCTCAGTAAAAATTATAGACCTTATCCGTGTGTACCCTTTACCGTTTACCGCTTGTCGCTATCTTGCTTTATTCTCGAGATCTCGCTGTCGCTCCCGCTCGTAATAATGGACAGGTCATAAAAATGACCTGACCTGAGCTCAACGCAGGGTGATAACCACTTATTTTATTATCGCATATGAATGACAATTGATAAGGCTTTAATCGTCATCAGACAAAATTGCAACTTTCAGTGGGGAAAATATCAAGGTCACTCTTTGAAAAATAGGACAAAAGGTCACGTGATCAAAATTTTCAAAAATTGAAAATCCGAGATAGCCAAAATGTTTGTTGGTTGATTGTGAGTTGAGCCATATGAAGTTTTATCGTGAACAAACTAATAGTTTCTGAGTTATAGGCCGCCAAACATAGGGCTGCAGCGCAAACTCCAAGAATTGCCCGAGGCTATATCTCGGAAACCGTTGTTCGAAGAAAAAAATCCTTGCCACAGCTGGCTTCCCCGCCCATCACAACCCATTAGACCAATTTTAAGCAAAAAATAAAATATGAGGGTGCAGGGCACTTGTCGATTTGTCGTGGAACGCCCCTGGAGTTAATGGCCCAGATAAGGAGAACCGGATTTTTAGAACTTATCCATACCTTCAAAACTCATGGAAACGTCTTAAATTCTTCAAATTTTGAGTACCCCAGTGCGAAATTCGCCCCGACGGGTTGTCGGTCGTACCCCAACCACATTTCACACCACTATGAACAATAAATGCACACACTGAAATCGCTATTACCGATATGCTCATCCAATCAAGTTTCGATAAACCCGTTCATCATCATCTCCTGCGGTTTCGAACACGCCTGTTAGGTGGCTTCTGATGCTCGTCGAGGTCGGAATTTCCAAATACGCGTGGTGCGTCGGGCCGCGCGCTCTGACTTCGGCCAAGAAAAATGCGTCAGCTGATCATTGTCATTTCTGCCACTTGCGTGTGGTGAAATAACTTAACTTATAACATAACTTATAAGACGGCTTTTTCATATCAATTATTTTACATAAAATCATATTTCAAACCATAAATAATGTTCGACAGCCAAATAAAAGAAACAATACCAATACGGGCTTACAGTTTAAGGCTCGACATTGTGTTGTCTACGATTAGACAGCTGATAACTCATTCCCGTACGTCGTATGGTCGTAACACTATAATGACCTTTGCTTATTGTCACAAGTGCGCCGCATTCGCGATTGTTGCCCGACGCCTGTTTGCAGGTGAGCCCACTACAGTTGTTATACATATCTAAAAACCGAAAAACTTTTAGGCGAAAAAGGCACTATTCCAGGCCCATTTTTGATTTTTTTTGCGATATTAGGTAAAAACAGAAGCTTCTTATCCTAGGAAAAATAAAATGGGAAATCTTTCAAAGGTGGCACACTACCTTTAAAGGGACCCTCCCACCTTCCAAAAAGTTAATGAATTGGCATTAAAGTGATGTCGCTCGGCTCAGAAAGAGCAAAAACGAATATATACCAAATTTCACCGAAAAAAAAAGTATTCACCGGTTTGCAAGTTATTAGACTTTTACTTTTGTTTACTTTTTTGGGATCTCCGCTGTTTCTAACGACTTCATTTTGGAAGTGCGGCGTTTGCGGCAGATGTTGCGCGCAAATAGCATATACCACCACTGCTTCACAAAGATGTTAGTATAAGGTTTTAAAATCGTTAGATCACCACTGACGTCACAAATTCTAAGGGGGCATCCCAATGCATTAGCCCCCTAGAATCCTAAAACTGCAAGTTTGAAATTCCATATCTCCGAGCATTTTTCGATGTTGTGAGTGCCCGAATCGGTATTTTCAGGCCTTGGCCACCAATTTGGCTATCTCAACTCAAAACTAATGTTAAGGTGGGATGGTCACTTTAAGTATCGTTGGTATTGGGTCCGGCTGTGCCTGGCTCAATCTCTGGTACTTCATCAGTGCAGCATTCCGGGGAATAGTGGAAGCATCGACCGAATGCAGTCTCGTCCTGTACATAATGTCGGTGGCATTTTTTATCGAGCCGGTAGTTCATGCAGTGCAGGTGGAAAGGCACGTAAATCCCTCCTGTCCAAGTCCAAAATGAAATGTCTTCTGCAACAGCCACCTGACAGTGGAGCTGATAATAGTCTATCGATTGTATTGGCACATCGCGATATTATGGAGCCGATCCTTTGGCGGGCCGTATTCCTTCCTATTTTAAATATGACACTTCGGAGCGGGCTAGATCGTGTCGTGCCGTCGTTCAATACGGCCGGTATTGGCGACTCTGCCCGCTCTCTGCAGAGTGAACCCTGGCGCTCTATCCCCGATCCTATCCACTGCGGCCGGCTGGACCCGACTCGATTCTGCTGAGCTGGTAAAACCCCTTTATTGCGCCGCGGGCCTAACGTGTGGCCCTGTAATTTCAGTGATAACCCTGCCGTGATAGGGTATCGAAGGGATCGTTTGGTGTTGGTGTGCAAAGTTAGGTGTTGATTAGATCTGAGTTGGGTGTGAAAGTTGGGTGTGATATATTGTTACCATAGATCCTTTGCTTTTGTTTACGATGGTGCCATTGAAATTGGAATGAATTTTGCCAATGATACTGTTTTCGAGTTTCCAAGGTTGTCTAATCGCTCAAATGTTGAATGGATGGACTAAGCATTTTTCGTTTTGCGTCTTCTGTCTCTAAGCGCATCTAACGGAGCCCATACTGCTTAATTGTGTCCGCTCGTTTTTAGCACACTATTATCTCGTCGTTGTTTCTCTTGACCCACCTGCCGGTTGTCCTATTTTGATGTCTGGCTAGCTGTCGGTCGGCCATTATCTTTCTCTTCTGGACATTTTAGTTCCCCTCCCCGTACGTTTTCCACTGATCGTTTGCTGTCACACTGGCTCCCTTCTGCCCCCTCACACAGACTCTGCTGACCGTTGGTCACCACTCTTACCGTCTTCTGACTTTTGGTTCCTAGACTGTTTTCAGGACTGTACGTCCCGTTGTTCCTGCATTTCTACCTTTCGTCCCCACTTTGCTGGCCGTCCGTCCCCTCTATTGCTGTCTGCCGATTTGCTGACTCCCCCTCCTCCGCGTCTGTTTCAGGTGCTGATTGAGACGCTGATCTCCCTGGGAGCCAGCGTACGATGGGCCGCCTGCAACATCTACTCCACTCAGAACGAGGTGGCCGCCGCCCTCGCCGAGAAAAGTAAGAGCCCACTATCTCATCGGACGCTCACAAGAACAGCATTTAGGTTGTATCTATATTCTATAGTGCCCATAGCAACACGTTAGCACTTCCATGCAGCAACACCTGCATGAAAGAAAGTGCAGATGGAATTGCTATACAGGTGGTTCTGGAATTCATACGGTAGCTGGTATAAAGTTCAAGTGCTGAGGTTATGTCGTGTGTTTTATGCGTCCTTATGAACGCTGAGCGACTAGGTTAGTCAGAGTATCATTGCAATATTTTAATTATAATGAATGTTATTAAACGTGAAATTAATATCAGCTATTATGAAGCTGCATTTGGGTGGACCTAATTAAAACATCTAGCTTTTATTGGATATTTTATGCGGTGCATGTGATGTTTGCAGCGAGCGTCTAATTTTGTCTAACATTAATCGTACCTATCTTATGGTGCATTTAAAGACATGATGTGGAGATGAATTGTGAATTAAAATGAAATCGGACTTACTCCACAAGAGTTCGTTGGGTCGGAGCTTTCGAATTGTATTACAATTCTTCGTCAGCGAGAGTCGTATCGGATGTTAAGATCGAATCGAAGGTACAGTGCGGTCAGGTACAGGTACAGTCACCCATATTTTGTTCGATCCGCACTGTACCTTCGATTCGATCTTAACATCCGATACGACTCTCGCTGACGAAGAATTGTAATACAATTCGAAAGCTCCGACCCAACGAACTCTTGTGGAGTAAGTCCGATTTCATTTTATCTTATGGTGCATTAACCCGCGCCCCGTTGGGCTCTGCCGAGCAACGCGCCCGGTTGGGGGGGGGGGCATTTTGGCCCCCCCCCCCCCTAAGATCTCGAGAACCACGCAACATAGCGACAAGCGGTAAACGGCGTTGGATAGCCCCAACGGGGAACTACCTTGTGACCCAATTTTATTGACCTAGGTCAAACCGATGACGTCACAGGTCAGGTCAAAGGTCCAATTTTCACCGTTTACAGGCACTTCAAGAAATGCGTTGTAAAATCGAGTAAAATGCATTTCATTGAAAATCATCGATGGGGAAATGTTCTTCAAACACATATTTTGCTATTTGAGGTCACTGATACCAGGTCAGGTCACAGAGGTCAGGTCACGGGGGGGTCACAATATGAAAGTGTCGTGTGATACATGTTTTATGGTCCATTTTACATGACAAATGCGATTATATGGGTCAGGCAGCCTTTGGGGCCAGCTTAGATCACGTTTTGGTCAAGGTCAGGTCAAGGTCAGGTCAAGGTCAGGTCAAATTAGGTCAAATTTCAAAGTTAATATTTTTGCATAAAATGGGTATCGAATCGATGCAGCTCGTCACGGGGAGTTCAATGGTGGTCTTTGTTTTGCCGTACGTGGTCTAGAATTGCTAAAAATTGAGTTCAAAAATTTGACGTCATCATTTTTGAACAGTTTTTTCGCTATAACTTGGCCAAAAATCGAGATATCGATCTGAAATTTGGTATGTATATAGAAGAGCGCTGGGACTATCACATATATTCCGGTTTTTTCGAAATTCGTAAAAATTTTGGATTTTTTCAAAGTTTTTCTAAAAAAATCAATTTTTTGAATTTAAAACCAAAAATTTTGAAAATCCGAGATAGCAGTTTTGTAGCGCCGCTTTTTGTCTACTAGACCATATAAAGAACTTTGAAATTGCTTGATAACTGTAGATTTGGTGAGCGTTTCAAGATTGCATGTTTTTTGCTCATTTTTGCTCGAACATGACCTCAGTTTGACCTCAATAACTCCTGACATAAGGTGACCTAAGACTTGAAATTTGGTGTGAAGGTGTCAAATTGATGCCCGGGAAGGTACTGAAAATTTGGCGGCGCTGCGCGCCGCCGTTTTCTTGCTATTCAGGAAAAACCACAGGGGGGGGCCAAAATGCCCCCCCCCCAACGGGGCGAGGGTTAATAATGTGTTTTTGTTTTGTTTGCAACTCCGGAAAAGCCATTACTGCCTCACTTGCTTCAAAGAAGTTACCGCACCCTCGATACTCATCCCAACTTTTGTGTTAAGTTTTCGATGTCTGAAGTGCCTGTCGAACATGATTATTTACGTTGGTTGCGCACCTGGTCCCTTCATATCGTTGTGCTCTCGTGTCCAGCTTATTACCATGAAATGACGTGGCCGAAATGATTATTTTAGCCTTATTTTCCTGATGCCCTCTGAGTAAATCTCGCACTCAATCCCCTTCCGTCTGTTTCATGGTCCGTTCTGTTTTGTCACCCATTTTGTGGCAGCGGCTACAAGCTGACGCCGTCTCCGGGTGCCTCTTCTCCCTCCCCCCCCCCTCCGCTCCTCGAGTACCCCCGAGATTCCCCAGATGACAAACAGCTACGACCCGACCCAAGCGATACGCCGAATCTCGACAACAGCCGCGACAACTCGGCGCCAGCAGCCTGCCTTCCAGCAGCTGCGCTCTAATTGCTTCCAGCTTTAATTCCGTTCTTATTTTACGTCCCGTCGTAACCCGGGGACTGTAAACTGACGCGGACGGGCGCTGACGCCGGGCGGGCCGCTGACACCGAACGGGCGCTGACGCGTGTTCCCTCGTCCTGCCAGGCATACCGGTGTTCGCCTGGCGCGGCGAGACCGAGGAAGACTTCTGGTGGTGCATCGACAAGTGCATCAACGCCGAGAACTGGCAGCCCAACATGATCCTGGATGACGGCGGTGATGCCACGCATCTCATGCTGAAAAAGTACCCGGCCATGTTCAAACTGATTCGCGGTGAGTCAGCGCCACCTACACCGATGGTTCTGCTGTCCCTCCGGCCATCTGACGGCTCTGCGAGGAAGCGATGTGCTATGGCGTTGGGAGGTTTTCCGTCAATGCAGATGTGAATAATCAGCCTGAAGTTTGATCCTACCAAGTTGTTCTCGAGCACGTCTTAGAAATTAAATAGTTTTAGTCAGAACCCGTGCAAATACATATGCGCACTTGATGGGAAGCTCTAAATCTGGTTAAATGATTGAAGATTTTGCCAAAAAAATCGTCTGTGTTCTGTTTAGAATTATTTTTACAGGGCCTTAAATCTCAATCAGCAACTGCATCTCAATCAGCCACTGCATGATTTTTTTAATTGAAATGTCTTGTCGCAGTGAAGTGTGCCAACCCGACTGTCACTGTGCCTGCCGTGCTCACCGCTCCGTGTCTCTAACATCATGACCATGTGCAGGTATTGTGGAAGAGTCGGTGACGGGCGTGCACCGTCTGTACCAGCTGAGCAAGCAGCAGAAGCTGTCCGTGCCGGCGATGAACGTCAACGACTCTGTGACCAAGACCAAGTTCGACAACCTCTACAGCTGCCGCGAGAGCATCATTGACAGGTGCGGCGCGGTATTGGCTGCTCTCGTAATCTCAGGTTCCATTACTGAACGTGACTGGGCACACAGACACGGGCTCAGTTGTCTGTGTTTATTCGTATTCTCGCTTCTTTGTTTTTGTGTTGTTGGTGCTGTAATTGAAATGCGACACATGTTCACAATCAGTTTCCGGAAATATTTTGTCGAGCTGTTTGTTTTGCAGTACGGTCGCGTTGTCGTAAACAATGGGCCCTGCCACCGACACACCTGACAGTGTGCTGGCTTAATAACAGACCATGCGGGACGTTTTTATAAATGTGTATTGTTCCAGCTCGTTTGTAGTAATTAAACCAGTAAAACGCCTTTTGGGCGAAGAACGAGCGAGCGAGACAGTGAGCCCTGCACGTGCGGAAGGGCGAGAGGGTACTTCCAACGGACTTGCGCAAAACACCCTTCTAACCGGTCGATAGCCGTGTGCCAAATTTGAACGCAATCGGCCCAGTCATTCCTGAGATCTGGAAGCGGCATTCTGCACGTGCAAACGGGTCCAAACTGACTTTTGCACGGCACCCTACTAACTGGTCCCCAACCGTGTACCAAATTTGAGCGCAATCGGCCCAGCCGTTCTCGAGATCTGGAAGCGCCCCCTGCACGTGCGCACGTGCAGTAGCACCTTAACCGCAACACATGGGAATGCATTGCCTGGAGGGTGCCTACCTGTATGCCAAGTTTCAGCGAAATCGCCCCAGTAATTACAGAGTTGTTAAAATGGGAACAAATTTGACACCTCTTATTGTTGTATTTTGCACGAGCACTGGGGGTGACCCACATGCATCGAGATCGAGGGTATCCTATTTTTGGTAGAAGGGATGCTGTTACCCTACAAAAATTACCGCAAGTCAATCGCCTAAGCGGCTGCTGTGATATGAGCCTCTCAAAATCACTACTTTTGCAAAACAGCTTGAACACCCTTGACTTTTCACGTGGCACGTGCCACGACGGTCACTGAGGTGTATCAAAAGTAGTCAATTACGGGGTAGAAGGGGTGGGGCTACCCAGCAAAAAAGACCGCAGGCCAATCGGTCCAGCGGTTGCTGAGATATGAGCCTCTCAAAAGCGTTACAGGCCGGGCCGGGCCGGGCCGGGCCGCTCATACTGAGATTTTTCCGTTATATTGAAAAGACTCGCTTCGCTCGCTGCGCTCGCTCGCTCGTAATAAGCTACTTCATCCTGTCCTAGATAGCTCTGGCGTGGAAATGTCGTAGTTCAAACACTGCAGCTAAGACTCTTTAAAATTTCGTGGGCATCAACGAAGATTAGTTGCCGTAAAATTTTGAATGGGATTGGGTTGACCAACAACGTAATGATGTAAAATTAGGGACTTTTGAGTATCATTTCACTTGTTTTATTTCGCGAGGTCCATTTGTTATCCTGAGAAGCCCAGAGGCCTTGCCATTTATCAACTCGGATGTCTTGCAACGAAATAGCTTTCGCAACTGAAGCGACATCTGAAAACCGACAAATGTCTCATATGTATGCAGTCTTGACTAACTACACCTTCTCTGTGCAGTTACATTTGTAAAGCTGCTCTAGGAAGTGGTGAGGTCGTCTTGTGCGAGTCCTGGCTGACCTGTTTCTCCCCTCCGGCAGTCTGAAGAGGGCCACCGATATCATGTTCGGCGGCAAGCAGGCCATCGTCTGCGGTTACGGCGAGGTCGGCAAGGGCTGCTGCCAGTCCCTCAAGGGGCTCGGCTGTGTGCTCTATGTGGCCGAGATCGACCCCATCTGCGCTCTGCAGGCCAGGTAGGTGGGGGCATACTCTGCGCCCGGGTGTGTGTGCTGCGTGCTACAGGATCACACCCTTCCATTCCCGATCCATTTATTCATACGTATATTGCATATGGCATAAGCAATAAGCATTCATGTTTCCATGATTTGTCTCTATTTCTTACAGTTGAATTCTGATCTTTCCGGTATTTTAATTTCCTTTCGGCTCCTCAGCCCTCAATCTTCGTTCAGCCGGCAGAAAGTATTCCGGTACAGCCTACCTTCAGGCGCTGACCACTGCTGCCATCTACCGGCTGTTTTTCAAAAACAGCAAGACTTACTGTTTCCGTCAACTTCTAGTGCGTCTGGATGTGTCAAGTTGAGCATTGTTGGGCTGTGGTGATGTGGTGAATCTGTTCTGCCCATCACCAAGACATATTTGAGCTATAAAAGCGTTTTCCCGTCATCTCCGCCTATGCGCGTCCTGTCACGGTCTGACCGTCATCCTCCCCGGCAGTATGGACGGCCTGCGCGTGGTAAAGCTGAACGAGGTGATCCGGAACGTGGACATCATCATCACGGCCACGGGCAACAAGAACGTGGTGACGCGCGAGCACATGGACCGCATGAAGAACGGCGCCCTGCTCTGTAACATGGGCCACTCCAACACCGAGATCGACGTGGTGAGCGGACGGGGAAGCTGTGGTTCGGAGGGCTGCCGCCAGGGGCGCTGGTGTGCAACCGAGTGGCTGGATCGCTGGGAAGTTCAATAGATGCCACGGTGATGGGCGTATTTATTCTGAACTCCTATTCAAAGTCGAGTAATGAAGTGCCGCTTCATGTAAATACTTTGTTTACTGAGCTTGTGAAAGCTTAATCCAGAATTAAGCTCCACTCTATGAGAGAACCAATTGTTTTGCTATTTTCAGCCTGTAAATAGCGATTCAAATCTTGTCTCAGTCCTGATGAGAGAGCCGTGTGTCAAATCCTAATCAAGCGAGGAAACAGAATTGGTCCTCATGGATATTGTATCACTTCAACACATTAAACAAAGGCCATGTATCCTCCCTGACATAGATGCATGAAATACTTGGACGCTTCGTGGTCTTGTGACGCTAAACTCCAGTTGCGATGTTACTCCACCCAGCGGCAGCAGTTTAGGACCTATCAGAGGTATCACGCCCAGTACACTCCCGTCTGACCGCTGACCTGTCCTGCCCACAGAACTCGCTCCGCACGCCCGAGCTGACCTGGGAGAAGGTGCGCTCCTCTGTGGACCACGTCATCTGGCCGGACGGCAAGCGGATCGTGCTGCTGGCGGAGGGCCGGCTGGTCAACCTGACCTGCTCCAGCGTGCCCTCGTTCGTCGTCTCTATCTCGGCGGCCACTCAGGTCAGTGACCCGACCCGACCCGACCCGACCCTCTCTCTCCCGTATCCGGTACTCTCTCCCGCCCGGTGATTGGCGGCGGGCGGATATATTGTCTCGCGTGTTATTTGTCTGAGTGATGGACGCAAGTCACTCCGCTAATATGCTAAGTGACAGGTGATGAGTGATCAATGGAGCGACCACTGATGCAGTGGTCTGCCGTAAATTCGATCAATCGATTTTTGGTGGAACATGAGCGGATATTGATGTCCATTGTGTGGGATCGCGGCTGCGGTAATCGTCGCCTTCATGTGACGAGTATTTCGCGTTTGTCGCTCCCATGACTGTAGCAGTGTCAAAACTTGTTTTACTTAAATATCTTCCTTATGTATTGCGGGACCACTGCAGACGCCCGGCTCTCCCACACCCAAATAATCATCATCGGGCGCGTGCTGGGACGCTCCGGGACGGCTTCCGACGGCCGCCGTCCGTCGGTCAGCTGATGCCGCCTCGCGCCACCCCTCCGCCGCGCCGGCCGGGCACGGATATAAATGAGGGGCAGACGGACGGCGGGCCATATAGAGGAACATTATCCGGTTCCGCCGAACGGCTCGCGCGCCGCGACCGCGCCGCTTCGGTGAACACTCGACGGAAGTGGCCAACCGACGCTGAATGCAAATGGTATTGCGGCGAATTCGTCTTGATATTTCGGAGAAGGCACCGCTGCCCGTCGCCTGGGTTCGATTGGTGACCATCGCTCGCCGCTCGGGCGGCTCCGGTCGCGCCACGGTACGGTTTCAGCCGGGCGTGTGGAGCCGGAGCCACTGCCGACGCCACCCCCGTACCGTCGAACCGGTCGGGCCGTCCGCCGCCCGCCATGATATATGATCAAAGTTGGCCGGCTGATTTCATGCCCGGACGCCGGCAGTCGGCCCGGCCCCGGGTGTGACGTCACGCTGACGTCACCGCCGGTCGGTCGGGCGGCGTCCGTGCGGCACGGGCTGCGCGGCGGCTCTGTGCGGGTGCCGGTGCGAGTGTGCGACGGCCCGGAGCCGGGTCCCGGACTCTGCTCGGCGCGCACTGCTCCGCCTTCTGCAGCGGCAGTGCGCAGCTGGTTATTAATGGCCGCCGGCGATCAGTTGTCGCCCACTGTGCGCCTCTTATCGGAGCGGCTAATTCGGGAGCGGCCGCCGCCGGCGCCGGGCGCCACCAAATGACCCAGTCAGTCTCTGGAACGCCTTCCCGATGGCTGTAACAGCGCCGCTAATGACTATTAAACTGAATGAAGGATGCGTTAGTTGGGTGGAAATGAAGCGTACCGGATGGATGCCGTCACTGCGGGCTTTGGCAGCCCATTGACGTCACTATGGGATTTGCCAAGTTTAGCAGTCTGGTGTTACAGCAGTGGCTGATTATATCTGAGAAATGGGATCTCCTTGGTTCCGCCGTGCTGGCCGCTTTTTATGTGACATCCTTTTTGAGGATGTTTAAAACAATTAAATGGTTCGCCAAGTCTATCCATCTGAACAGCTCAGGCAATCTAGCGCTCGAATTAATCTCATAAATGTATTGCTGCGGAGCCTGCAGCTGGGACGGCTCTCAGAGTAATATTTCACTCGCAGAGCTGGCCGTTTTAAATATCTCGCCAGTTAAGTGCTATTTGCTAATGGCGGCAGCTGGCGCGTGCAGCTGCATTAAACGGTCCGGCCTCGGGGTCGACCTCAGTCCGTCCACGGCGGGACCTTGAGCGGGGTCGAACTAACGGTGCGCTGTCCCTCTGTTCCACCCGACCCGCCGTGTCGGGGTATGTTCTGCGTGTTTGGGGTGTCCCCTTCTGCCGCTTCTGACAGCTGTGCGCTGTTCCGTGTGCTGTTCAGTTGGCCGGGTCCCTGTGTCCACCGGGTCCCTGTGTCTACCGGGTCCCTGTGTCCACCGGGTCCCTGTGTCCACCGGGTCCCTGTGTCCGCCGGGTCCCGAGTCTTCCGCCACCATTTGACGACCGTTTTGTGGTATGTGCCGCAGGCCCTGGCGCTGATCGAGCTGTTCAACGCCCCAGCTGGACGCTACAAGGCCGACGTGTACTTGCTGCCCAAGAAGATGGGTAAGTCCACCAGTGGTAGCAAGATGGCAGGACCCTCTCTGACGCTCTTCTGTACTAGACTCATTAGTGGCCAGTCTTATTATGTCCGTTATCCGGTCTCCTGTCCGCAGTCCCCAATACGTCTCTCGTCCATGCCCAAGGCGGCGGTGGCAGCCAGTGTCCTCAACTGAGCCCCGTCGGACCTCCCGCTCCTCCCGTCCGCCCAGCCACTGACGGACGGAGGCGCCTGCCTGTCTCAGCCCCCGTCCCCGCCCTCCGCCGCCGGCGGCACCCAGCGCCGGCTCCGAGTTGCCCGCCGCGTCTTCAATATAGACACCGGTATGAGCGCGATGTGAGCGCCGACCCTCCGTCTATTTCAATAAAGAAGCAAAAAGGCGTCTGCGTCTCGGCACTGCGTTATGAACCTATTGAAGATGTTTACCGATGTAGAAAAGAAATGGTGTCGCGCGATATTTGAGCACGTGTTTGTTCCGTTGAAGTCGTCTGACGTCACAAGCGATTCGTTTCCATTAGTTTTGAGTTACTGTTGTGCTGCAATTTTTCATTTGCTCTTTTCAAGTCAAATATCAAATTAAGCGTATTTCTGGGCAAAACGAAGTGAACACGTCTGGGCTAATCCGTCGTCATATTGTCATCGCCTTCGATAAATATGTGTCCACCACTACAGCGATCAAGAGATGCCTGTCTGTCTTTGTGTCTGTCTGTCTGTGTATGTAGCCTGCGTCTCTCTGTGCGCCGCAGATGAGTACGTGGCCAGCCTGCACCTGCCCTCGTTCGACGCCCATCTCACTGAGCTCACTGAGGAGCAGGCCAAGTACATGGGCCTCAACAAGGCCGGTCCGTTCAAGCCCAACTACTACAGGTGAGTGCGGCGCTCCACGGCTCACGGCCCGGCGCTGCTCGCATTGCTCGTATTGCCAACGTGCTGTGGTCCTGGCGGAGGGCGAGATGGCGGCCTGATGTGTTTTTTTCTGTCATACAGCATTATCCCTTCAGTTTTTCGTTCTCCATAATTTTTGTTGTTGTTGTTAGGGGCGATAGTGCGATAGACTTGGTCTGTTTAGAGCTTCTAAGCTTCAAATTGCTAAGGCAATCATTTGACTGATAAGGAAAGTCTATGAGCGGGACAAAACTCCCGGTAGGTTGTAATACAGAATAATCACATTTCGGGAGTGTAAAATTAAATGCATTTATTTCGAGCAAATATTTATTTTTATGCTTGTTTAAGCTCATTTTATCGCAAATTTGCAGGACACTGTCAGACTCGTAGCCTCAAGAAGTCTCCTTAGGCTAGGCATAAACAAAGGCGATGCTGGTTTTGTGTTAAGCCGGCGTTTGGCTTGCATCTTTCGTGGAACGCATTAGCGAAGCTTCCATGGCGGAGCGTTGCTTGCTTTTCGGGACTAAACCTAAGCCAAAAGAAGCAAGTTTCTTTAGGAACAAAACAATTCCTGGCTTTCCGAAATCAGGCTGTTGTTGGAAACTGAGGTTAATTGAGATGCATGCGTTATTCTCAGAAGGTGGGGATGGCCAAGCTAGATAAATTAATAAAAGAAGCATCTTTCTGTAGTTTAATTCTGGTCAACAATGGTTTACATCATATATGCCTCGGGTCAAGTGAACTTCTGTGCACAATTTGTATCCGTGATAGGTGATTGTTTGAAAGTGTGTTGCTAAGAGATCATAGTTATTTACTTGTTGCGCGAAGTTTTGCCATGGTCTCCCGATAGGGGGTCCGGTGCGGAGCCTCACAAGTTGGTATCTTCTAGAGCGGCCGGCCGCTGTCGGTGCTCGGACGGGGTTATCTGCTCTGGTCCGGCCGGCCGCTGTCGGTGCTCGGACGGGTTATCTGCTCTGATCCGGCGGGCCGGGCGCCTCGGACGGCCGACGGCGGCCCCGCTACAAACTCCCAAACAACGGAAGGGTCGGGGGGGGTCGTACTCGCGGTCGTTCCTTGTATCTGCCCGGCCGACCAACTTTATGAAACTTCATCAAGATGCCGTCCGCGACATTAATTTAAGTCGCCCGCCTACTCGGTTCGGCCTAATTGTGCCCACTCTTTGGTGACAAGCACGTGGCAATTTGCATCAAAAGGTCCCAGACAAAGGCTTATTGAAACTGGAAATTAGTTCCCCAATCAAATTGAGCCATTTTTGCATGGCGAGGCATTCTTTGCGGAGCCTGAAGCGTTTTAAGTGCCGTCTGAGCGGGCCAATTTCGGAGACGACGCGTTTGAGTCTGAGCGGCGCTGGGCTGAGCCGGGTTCCGCAGTCGCCGCGGCACAAAGAGCCGGCGGCTGCCGGAGGAGCGGGGCGGGCTGACGGACCGCGCGCGCCGCCGGACGCTCCGGTGACCGGCATATGCGCCGTGGAATTTCTCATTAGCCGGCGCCGGGACGGTGAGGGTGGCTGCCGTCTCCGGAGCCGGCGCGGCCGATTTATTTACGGGGGTGGGCCTTATTGATGTCGGCCCCCGCCCTGGGCCGCCGGCCGGCCGGCCTGAACTGGCACCGGCTGGCAGTGATGGGCGTACGCCAAAACAATACCCGCCCCGGCCGCATATCAACAATGCCGCTCAATGCGCGACAAGGACCTATTACCAGCAGCCGTCTGCCGCGCGATGGTCGCTGCCTGTCTGATATGTTGCATCAGAAAATATGCGCCGCGTAGTATTGTTGGATATTTTTGGTAGCCTGATATCAGGTTCTCAAAACCCTCCTTATTTCTTTTTGACGCAATATCGAGATTATGTGCTGTTATTGCTTCCACATTTAGTATCTTTTTTAAGCTCTCACGCGCTTTCACGCCCTCGCGTGACGTCATCCCGGTCATCTGTTCTTATTGGTTCGTACGATAGCCAGTGACGTCATTAAACAGAGGGCACTTAACAGCAATATGTGGATATTCACCCCCGGTCTATCACAGCATCTCCTGCTAACGGCTGCGTATCAGTGCAGCCCTCCGCATTAGCGGGACGGTGACGCAGAAACCGTCCCTCCCCCTACCCAGCACCGGTAGGTCGGCGGGCTCTCGCACACACCCCGCAATAATTGCATCGCTGAAGCGACGCACGGACGGCCAATATAAGCCAGGCATTGACTGACGTCGATTAAATGAAGCAGACTGCGTGGGCGGCTGGTATGAGAGCCGACCTGTGTGGGCGGCCCGGGCCGGGCACCAGTGTCGATTCTGGCCAGTGAGAGCAGCCGACGAAGGGGAACGGCTGTGACTTTGACGCCGCGTCGTCTCTGACGGCTTCCTTCTCCGTCCGTTGCAGGTATTAGGGTGACCGGAGCGGCGGATGTCATCAGTCCGGCTGGGCCACCGTCCTGACCTGGGCGTCCGAGTGGCCATGCCACTGCGGTGCGGTCGCCCGACCCGAGTGCGGCAGCGCCCGGCGCCGACCGGGCTCGGCCGACTGCGAGTCGGTGCGCCAGCCGCCAATCCGCTGACTGAGAATGCGTGTGTGTATCCGAGAGAGCGCGTGTGTATTTGCTGCGCGCGCAGTGTGCTCCGTCAATCAATTGTGCAGCTTATGGTGAGTATTCTAGTGAACAAATTTGGTGGAGATTCTCTCGTCTAGTGCAAACAATCCCGCGCGTCGTGCGCGCTCGCCGGTGTCGTGTCGGCGGCCGGCGGGGTTCAATCTGTCCGGTCACGCCCGCGGAGCGCCGTGGGCGGCGTGTGCTATTTGTTGGCGGCCTGGCGACGGCGACCGATGGCTGTCGCCGCCGAGCCGCCCAGTGCCATCGGCCCGCCACCGCGGTCAGGTCTGCAATAGAGCGGCAGCGTGCCGCGCCCGGCGGACGGGCGAGCCGCGTACCGCCGCTCTCAGAGAGACGCGCCCGCGCCGCCGAGATTGGACCGCCCGATCGTATGATGTCTGTGGAATAGCGCTACGAGCGCGTGAACTGCTGGAGAAAAGGCTACTGGATAGGGGAGAGTGGGGCAAAGCGGCCACCCGGGGCAAAGCGGCCACCCATCGTTTTAGCCCTTCATAGCTGACGTCGGTTCCAATTTATGGTTGCCAATTATACTTCTCTTCACGGTCGTTCGAATGAGCCAGACCGGGGTTTCAGGCCCATCACCATTATTCTGTGAAACACAGAAAAGCATTTCTTGCCAGGTTACCAACTATGTTTACAATTTTTAAATGTTATGCTATTCCATAACCGTTTGGAATTTTTATAAGCGTTCTTGTCCATGCATTGCATGGTTATCATACATGTATTCTACCAATTTTAATGTTTTTTACCCCACTAATAGCTAAGCTGGAATATTTTTGTCTCGGACTGTATGCGCGGGGCAAAGTGGCCGGGGCAAAGTGGCCACCCCCAATTTGCCATAAGTTGTTTCCATCTGGATAGAAAACACTATTTATATTCAAATGTGTCGTCATGCATTCATCTTGGCCACTTTTCAGTTGCATAACTTACCAAATAATGCAATTAATTATTTTTTTCATAAAAATCCTTTCTTTGTTTACCTACAGGTGGAAGATGGTAAAGTAAACATCCATCCTCGCTTAACCTTGTCACCATCAAATACCCTATGTCGTACACGAGGCAACTATTTTGTTTCTCATATCGGGACTTGAGAAGACGCCGGTGGCCGCTTTGCCCCAGGGTATGAGGCAAAGTGGCCAATATGCATAGGTTTAAAGTTTTGTCAATATCTTTCATATGTGAACGCCTTTGGAAATAAAACGCAGTTGAAATAAAAGGCAACTTAATGGGGATCACATTGGTATAGAAAAAATCTTTCCAAGTTTAAAAATCAAGCGTTGGCATCGTGAGAAGCGTTAGGGTGGCCGCTTTGCCCCACTCTCCCCTACATGGTGTGGTCCGAAACTAGACGCTCTGGATCGAATGGTGAAACCTATCGATGTGCTGGTTTATGTCTCCAAGTCAGGACCTGTGCAGTTAAAAGAGCTCAATGTAGGGTAAATGAAATCAGAGTCGTATTACCGCCCCGTCGCGCTACCACCGGGCCTCCTGCTGGGTAGCTGCTGTCTCCGCGTCCCTCGGGCGCGGCGCCGCCGGGCGCGGCGCTGTTGGGTGTTTTAAATGATCATTAGCTGTGGTCGCCATGTGGCAGCGTCTCCCTCCGACGCCAGCGAGCGAGTGTGCGTGTGTGATGGTTTCGGTGGGCCGCGGGGCGCCGTACACACATTCCGAGCCGGGGCGCCGTGGGCGCCGGCGGCCGGCGGCGCCCGTCTGTCCTGGATGGCTTCTCTGTGGTGCTTGGGTTCTTCGCGGCTCGTGTGTCGGTGCCGTGGCCCGGGCCGGCCGGCCGGCGGGTATCCCGCTGCGGCCGTCGTCAGCGCCGACGGGTGATATCACACGCAAACAAATACACATGTTACGGAATGGCCCGCGTCTGCCTGCCGGTGGCTGTGAGGCAGCGGTACTGAAATGGCAACGGCAGTCTGGTGGTCAGCTCAACAAGAAGCAAACCAGTGGAACCACAGAGTTTCCTTGTGTTAGCGCCATCGTTCGCTCGTGCAAAGTAACTGAAGGCGAGACAAGCTTGTGCTTTGATTCAAACGTTTCTAGTAAGAAGTATGGCTGCAATTCGCAGAATTGCACCATCCGCCACTCTAATGTAAAAAGGGACGTGTTAAAGGCACGCGAAGATATTCGAGATGGTAACAAACTTTTTGTCGAAGTTTGACAAAGGCTGCTAATTTGGGAACTTTTTCTCGTAGCCCAGGAACTCTAGCTAAAGTTCGTGACCCGCCAAAAAAGAGCCTAAAGGCGCGTATGACGTTATTGTTCACGGCTCCCAGAATAGCAGGCGGCGGCGGCGGCTGCTGGATGTTCGGCGCGTGGGCGGGCTGCCCCCGGCGCCGCCTCCACCGGGACCAGCCGAGCCGGCTGCAGTTTCCAGTTCCACCCTCCCGTGATGGCCCTCCGCGGACCGGACCGAGCGCCCGCGGCCCGGGCGGCGGCGCCACTCGAACGGGTGCATTACCCCGCGGAATGGCTCCCGGCGGCGGCGCTGCCGACTACGTTACCGCCCTGTCGGCACCCGCTAATGGGGCTCCGGCCGGCTCACCGTCTGGTGACGTCACTGGCGGCGCGCTATTGGTCCGCGCACCGGTGACGTCACTGACGAACCGCTGAGGGTACGCCGGCCTGTGGTGGTGTTTCACCGATGATAACAGCACGCTGCTATTACACGTGTCAAATTGGGTTTCCATGGAGACGTCAACAAGCCCATTGCTCCAACACTACCTCAAGTGTGACGTCAGCTCGCGAAATGGGAATAGCAGCGCGCTGCTATCACGGCTCGTTGAGGTCACTGAAATACCGTTCGGCCACCGGCCGGAAAACCCAACTACCGCCCTTGCAGCATGGAAGAATGTTGCTGCACTTTATTTGGTCGATCCACTAAGTTTACATTCACACGTCATTTATCGGATGACGCTCAGTTCTTCGTGTATTTATGCCATTAAAAACATGACGTTTTCATTTTCCTCCCACGTCACATTCCTTAATATGAATCGACGTCACCAGAAATAATCTTTTCTAAATTACCCCAATTTCAGAGCGGCGTCATTTCATCACTCGTGGCTCGTACGATCCCGCCTCCGTCTCCGCTCAGTCATATGCCGGATGACGTCATCAAAACTACGCATCTGAATCAAACGAATGCGGCAAAGTTACTATCGCTAGATGGACTAAAAGCCAGCAACCTACACGAACCCTGCAGCTCTAAAACGTCCGCGATCTTTCCTACGTCAGCAGTCAGGTGACTTGACATCAAATTGCTATGCCATTACGATAAGACATCAACCGAATGAGGTCACAAACTTGCAAACTTGTAGGCGTATGATACGCTCTAAGAACCCATCTGAGTTAATAAAATTGCCTCCAGTTAGCGTGTTCTGAACCCGAGGATCTGAGTTCACAAATTACGATGTTCTCATGGTACGCATCGCAGTCTCTGTGTTATGCGGAACAGTATAACTTTAAGCGCTAACCACTAACGCCATCTATTATCGAAGCAAATAACTTCACGCTGCGTCGCAACTGAAGGGAATGCAACCGAACCGCCTCGGCAGTTTTTTTTTTTTTTTGGTAGGGTAGTGATGTATTTTGCATGAACTACAGCCATGTCATCGGCCAGGCGAAATAGCGTGAAAGAGCAGCAATGACGTGACATAAATGAATTAACCCTCGCCGGCACAGGGGGGGGGGGGGGGTGATGCAATCCCCCTAAGGTTTTTCGCGAATAACTCGCGTAAAAAGCGGCCGATCGCGACGAAACTTTCAATATTTTCGCGTTTATCAATTTTACACCTATCCTGAAAGTATCATGATCCTGACCTAAATGACCTTTGACCTATTACCTACTTTTCAAGACCATGTTTGGCCGGAATCGAGATTCGGCGTACGTCGGCTGGCATTAGCCGCGCGTTTGCAGTCTTTTCGTGGTTTCAAGCGTTCAAATATGTGTTATGATGTTGGTCCCATGCATTAGGGTGGGTTTCAAGGTCACCTGAAGGTCAGGTCAGGTCATTGACCTTTGATGACCTCGGTTCACTTCTTCGAGTTTTACATGTTTCTAGGCTAATTTTTGGAGCTGAATTTGAATTTAGCAACCATTTGAACATTTACAAAGTAGTTTTGGTGTCTTCGTAATATGTTACGAAGCTTTCAGAGGCGATTGACACCTACTACGAATAATCGACAGGACCACTACTGATTGACCTGACCTGACCTGACCCGACCTGGCCTAAATGCATGAAAACATTATCTGTGATCAAAACGAACATGATATTCGTGATCAGCACCCCTAAAAACTTCATAGCAGTGGCACTTTACGACGTTCTAACAGGTCTCGATTTTCCCGACTTTCCCGACTTTATGATACGAAGTGTTTGGTGTGAAGTGTGATGTGAAAGTGATATGTATGTAGTGTTCGCTAGTTTTTTTCTGGCAGGCGCGCGAGCTCGCGCCTCTCAGGGTGAGCATGGCGCGGTTGGAGCGGGTGCGCCGGGCCACTATACGGTATACATACAGTGTGTGAGGGCGAGTACCGAGAGTGAGAGTGTCCTTTTGTGGGCGGATCTGGGGCGCCGCGGCCGTGGTGCCGCCGGCCGGTCGCCGATGTACTGGAATGGGATGTCCTGCTAAATAAATCCTACATGGTGAAAAAAACAGGTCCCGATTTTCCCAAATTTTGGGTCATTGACCTGACCTGGAAGGTCAACCAATGACCCAGTACCTAAAAGTTGGGTATCATCAGCTTCCTCTTGTCATGGACAGCAAGCGCGTTTTTTTCTGCGAAGCTCTAGCTCGATCAGGGGCCAAACGGCAAGGGGTCCAACGGACCCCCCCCCCCCCCTCCCCTTATACGTTCGAGGCTGGCAAAACACCAATACGGGCGAGGGCTAACACCCAAATAATGCAGTTGGCTTGTAGGTACCAGCCAAATAGTTTGCTAAAAAAAATTGGTCTTGCTTACATTATTACCTACCGATAGAGAATTGAAACGATGAACTAAGTGATAACTGACCATTGGATGACTTTAAAAAGTCGAGAGGCTTGATGGCTTTGAGGAAAGCGTCTCTGTGAAATTAATCTGAAGCACATCTGCGCAGCGTTGGCGTTGTGTAACGAGTGCGGACAAAGAAATGACAGAAAGTAATTAAGAAAGATTGATGTAACCCACTCACGATTGGCTCTCGGTTCGCCAATGATTCATGAAAACTAACATTCTTCTCTCGCCTGCAGAGGAAGCCAACAGTACCTACTTTTTAGATTTCTGGTCAATGGGCGCTGCACAAGAACATTGAATATAAATTCATGGCCTTGGTTTAGACGTTCCTATTTATTTGACAACAGTAAAGGCAACTAGATGATCATTTATCCATCCTGGCAGGAAGAACCAAATGAAAGCTGTATGATGATCTCTTCTGCCATAGAAACCGTTAATGTCTATAATGACCATATATTTATGTGATAATAGCATAGATATTATAATAGACATGTTATTTATGCTTCCGCTTATTTCGACTCGTATAGACGTCATGCGCATGCGCTCTCGTACTTATCGGACGCAAATGGCTGATATGACCGAAGAATGGTGCACTCGGTCCCAGCGGCCGTTGGTTTCGTTCCCCTGAGCGCCTCAAACTCTTGGGCAACTTTATAAAGGTATTTTTTATTTTCAGCGTACATGACTTTGGACACCTTGTGATTGTGAAATTGTTGTTAAAGTCATTACTGAAAATATTGTGAAAGTCGCAATCAAATCATAACATACAAATAAGCCAGCGCTGATATTGTTTTGTGGATTTGTCACTGCAGCAGATGCCTAGACATTCATATACCCTATATCGACACCTTTTTTAAACCCCACATTTGTTCTCCGGTGAATTTCAGACAAGTTGGTTAGAGACCTTCAAAAAAGGTACAATCACTCGATTTTTCTCAAGTTTGTCTGTCTTGGCAGATATGTAAAGCAATACCCCAGTAAACATGCCGACGTCGGCCCGACGTCGGCCGACGTCGGGGTGACGTCGGCAACTCGGCATCGGCATGCCGACGTCGGCCCGACGTCGGTCCAACCTCGGCACGACGTCGGCTGGATGTCGGATATGCCCGCATGTCCCGACGTCCAGCCGAGGTCCAGCCGACGTCGGGCCGACGTCGGACCGAGATCAATTGCTGAAGTCCAGCCGACGTCGGGCCGACGTCGGGGCGACGTCGGACCGACATCGGCCGCTGTTTTGACCGTTAAAATAATATAAAATACATGTTTCATGTTTCATAAAGAGCTTCTGTATTAAGAATATCCTCAAGAAACTCAAATCTTCCTCCATGCCACCACCCCCTGATCCGGACTGGACGGGAAACTTTATCCCATTTGGGATTGCCCGTAAGCCGAGCTCGCCCGTAGCCGGGTGCGGTGAGTGCTTGGGGGCTGCTCGGCCTATCCTTTGGTCAGGCTCAGCCCCGGCAACTCACCAGGGCCGGGCCCAGTTCATATAGAAAGGCCAGTCGGCAAGTGTCACTTTGCCAAAGTGCCACTTATCAAAGGGACACTTTGGGAAACGTTGGTGTGCAGGTGTGTAAGAGTGGCTATATGAATCCATTGTGGGGTCGCCCTTTCCAATAAGTGTCACGTAACAGCAATGGGACCAGGGACTCTATATTAACTGGACCCAGGGTGTTCGCCAAGAAGACCAATGTCTCCATCCTATGATCCTTCCGGCTCTGAAATGGTCTTGTCAGACCGAAAGGGGTTAAGCCAACAAAACAAACCAACTTCGTTAGTTGGCTGCGTGGTGTAGTGGTTAGCGCACTAACCTCGCATTCGAATGACACGGGGTTCGAATCCCATCGCCGACTGATGCTTTTG